AGCGTGTTTCTAAAAGGGAAACTATTTCTGATTGTCTTAACTGGTGATTAGTGGCATAACTATTGGCGACCATAGACATGTGCTGTAACTTGTTAAGTATCTCCTGTTCAGACAAGCCATCGATATTCCATTCGTATAGCTTATCAGAAGATACAGAGAACTGACTCTGGGTTCTTTCCTCAAACTGGACATCTGGGGGCGTAGGCTCAGGATACCAATTTTTGGTAAGGCTTGTGGGGTTAACTTTACATGTTAAACGGCTAACTTTAAGACTCTGGGCATCTCGGTTAACTTCGAGATTATTAAAGGCTTGCTCAATCTTAGAAATATTACTAGTTTCTGACTCTGGACTAGAAACTGAATCTAAAGACATGATTGGCTCACTATCAGAATTAACTTCAAATTGTAAAACTTTGACTAAGATTTCTTCTTCTTTTCCTTTGTCTTTATCTTTATTTGGCTTGGGTTTAACTGGAGTTAATTCCCTAAACATTTCTTCTATCTTTTTCATTGTTGGACTGAACTTGAGGGAAGACTCTGGTTTTAACTCTTGAAATTTAACTAAAGGTTTTTCTTTCTTAGGCTTAATGGTAACTTCACCAGGGGTTAATTTATCAACCTTTGTTTCTATTTTATCTAACTGTTTACCTATAACTATTAGGCTTATGTTGGCATAATTATTCTGTTCTATGACTTTCTTAACCTGTTGTTTGTACCTGATAAATCACGGCCATGAGCTGGCCGAAGGAGCCCTTTCTCTCGGCCCTGGCACTCGTTTGCAGAGGCTGAAACGCAGCGTTTCGCCAGGGTATTTCGCCTTCCTTAAATAAAAGAAGGAAATGCTAAGGCATGATCATCTCGGCCTCAAGTGTAGGCCGAGGCCGAGGCCGAACAAAATTGCGGCCAAGACATTAAAGGCAAATCATCACGTGACAGCAGGGTCCCAGGCTTCATTTAATGAAGTAGTGCCTGTTTAATGCAGCAAACCCATTGGCCACAAAGTAGCATTTAATGCATGAGGGAAGGTGGGAAGTGACTGAAGTCAGGATTTGGTGATGAAGATCAGAATGATTAGACGTGGACATCCTCACAAGAATTCTGACAGCTTGAGATGTTGGTTCACCAGCTATCCAGGCCATAAATGCGTCTCCACGGCCAGAGGTTCAGAACCCA